TGCATATATTGATGAAGCTCAGAATAGTTGGGAAGCAGTCAGCAAGGATTACTGCAACACTAGTGAGATTAGCTTGCTAAGTATTGTACCATCTTAATACACCATAGTTATTCTAAAGTTGAAAGTACACAAAGACACTATAGTTTGGCACCTAGTGAGAATCAAATTCATAATACTTGTGAAATTAACTTGTGAGACAAAGATGATAATTATTGCTCCCTGATAATATACTCTTGTTATTCTACAAGATAAGCTTGTTAACCATTGCTATACGATAATACTAGCAGGGATGCCTGGCGTTGCTCAGAATATCTCTGAATGATAGTTGTTTATTGACTATTGATATCTTTCAGCCATCTTATGGAATATAAATTTTTATTCAATCTTTAAAAAATAAACTTTGTTGTTTTTTTGGTTTGTTACAAAATAACTAAATTTAGGAAAATACCACACTACCAATACCACACTTGGGGGTGTTAGAGGGCTGAGCATCCCCATATTTTTATTCAGAAGAACACTTTTTTCGAATTAAATACTGACATAAATATTCTGTTAATGTTGTTTTCAAACAAATCAAATTGATTTATTTAAGTTCATTAACCTTTTTTTAAATTATTATTAATAAAAAAAAGTAAATAAACTTAAATTAAGATATATTTAAACATATTTAACTTAATCATTTTTTTTTTTTTTCAAACAAAAACTATAATGAGCCTTCTTTGAAAAATAATTATTAACGATTTATCTTGGAGGGGAATTTAGATTTTTTACTTTTAAACATTAGATTAGTGATTATTTTCTTTTTAAGAAAGTCAAAGAGGCTAACATTTCTCCATAAATGAATTTAACTATTATTTTGAAAAAGAGTAAGATACATTGAGAATTTAGTTTTGAAAATCGATTATGTTAAAATTTTCAGTTATATTTGTATTTGAAAAGAAAAAAAAAAAAAAAAACCCTAGTTAAATAAAAATTAGCAGAGACAGACATTAGATATGTCAACATTGGTCAGGTTGAATATTTGTTTTATGAATCTAAATACATTTTATTTAAATTATTTTCCGAAAAAGGCTTGCTATAGTTTTTTCCTTTAATAAAAGTTAATTTAAATTTTTTTGCTTTCTATGTTAGTTACAAACCAAAAAGAAAATGAAGTTTATTTTTTAAAGATTGAATAAAAAAATTATTTTCTATAATATAGCTGAAAAATATTAATAAGTCAACACACACAAACTGCCTTTTATGTATGTATAGATAGATAGAGAGATAGATAGATAATATTCCTACAACATAAACATAAAAACAAAATGCATGTATTTAAAGTAAACCTGTTATTAATAATAATATGTAGTTAAAAATTTCCTGTTTAAAAATATCAACAAAGATGACTTATATATTCATGGAATAAAGCTACTGAAAATCCCTAAAAATATCTATGGGAATTGATTCTGTTGTGTTTGTATTATTTTTGTTTTAAATATTTAATATTCTTCTTTTAAATTTACTTTGTTGCTTTAATATTCATTTTTTTTTAAAGTTACACTTTTATTTACTATAGATATGGAAATAAATTCAAGTGAATAGAATTTTTAAAAATACATATAGTGTTTTGAAATTATCAGCACTATTAAAATGTAAAAATGAACAGGAATTATAATTATCAGTAGAATTAAAAAGTAAAAACAAATGGGAAAAAGAATTATTCCTGTACATTTTTACTTTTTGTTCTGAGAATTTTGAATGCATTCTAATGCAATTATTACATATTTTTAATTTTAAAATATCTTTATAAATACAAAATATACAATGATAATTTTTTTTTACAAAAAGTGGGTTGGGTGATACTGATTCTCTCTCTCTCTCTATATATATATATATATATATATATATATATATTTTGTTGTCAATTATGATAGTTTTTTTTAGTTTTAGACACACACACAGGCAACTGCCCTTTATATATGTATAGATAGCCTACAGATTTCTCAATCAACCATGTGAGACAGCCAGAGAAGATCAAATTGACCCCCACCAGCAAAGTGGTCTTTGAGACTATTATGTTAACCATCGTGTTAATTGTACGCAAATGCATTTACTGCATTAATTGTGAATAAAAAGAAAAATCAGGAACTAAGGCTCGGAGAAAATGTTTACAAGAATCAAGTAGAAATTTCCTTAAAAGAGTGCAAGACATAGAAAACTAAAGACTGTACTTTCATTAAAATTAAATGGGCTTCAGTTTGAAAGAGAGAACGTACAAATTTTGATGCTATGTTACGAAATCTAATAGCTGATATTTTCTTGTAAAGAAATGAATATATCACTTTTACTTAAGAAATTACCTTAAAAAATAGCAACACATGCTTATGTCAAACAAAACAATGTTGCTGAAAAGATATGAAGGGAGAGAAAGAGATTGAAGAATATCACTGTTGATGAATTGTCAATAGAATGTGTATAGAGACACCATAAGTGTAGCTGCATCAAGAAAAAAAAATGT